AGATGCTTCTCAAGCAAATCCCAGGACGTCATTCTCCCCTTGTACTCGGCCCTGGTGAGGCCGCAGCTGGAGTACTGTGTCCAGTTTTGGGCTCCACAATTCAAAAAGGATGTGGAGAAGCTTGAGAGAGTCCAGAGAAGAGCCACGTGCATGATCACAGGTCAGGAAAGCAGACCTTATGATGACAGGCTGAGAGCCATGGGGCTCTTTAGCTTGGAAAAGTGCAGGCTCAGGGGTGATCTGATGGCCACCTATAAGTTTATCAGGGGTGACCACCTGTATCTGGGGGAACGTTTGTTCACCAGAGCGCCCCAAGGGATGACGAATTCAAATAGTTATAAACTACTGCAAGACTGTTTCAGACTGGGCATAAGGAAGATTTTCTTTACTGTCTGAGCCCCCAAGGTCTGGAATAGCCTGCCATCGGAGGTGGTTCAAGCACCTACATTGAACACCTTCAAGAGCAAATTAGATGCTTATCTTGCTGGGATCCTATGACCCCAGCTGACTTCCTGCCCTTTGGGCGGGGGGCTGGACTCGATCTTCTGAGGTCCCTTCCAGCCCTAATGTCTATGAAATCTATGTTCCCTGCCTTCTAGGTGCTCACTCTGGGTTTGCATATAGCTTTTCTCCAGTCTTGAGGTTATGTACTTGAACAATGTTTCCCCAGAAGTATTTATCTACTAAATGCTACTCATTAATGTTGAAATTTTATAGGGAAAGAAGGCAAGGTCAGGCCATTTCTCTATTCATCCTACTGAACATAACTTCTAGTGTAGTGGCTGCAACACTTTTAGCCCAGGGCTGTCTAACTTATGTGTGGTCAGGTGCTGTGCTGTATGGTCCTACCCTCTGCCCCCATGCTATCCCATGCCCCATGCTGTACCGCAAGCAACCCCCACTGCTTCCCCAGCCCTGTGGGCTGTGCCCTGCTCCACTGCCCCAGGGGCACGAAGCAAAAGCTGGAGGAGGGGTGAGAACCTAGGGGCTGTAGGTTAACCCTGAGGGGCTACTTTCATACCTAAATTGGGCATTTCTTTTCACTCAGTAAGAGTCTTTAATACATTACATTTGATTCCTTTAAACTCAGACTGCACACTAAGTGAGCTTTGTTCTGCATTCAAGCAGTACTGACCTCCTTATCCCAGCTTTCCAACTGCAACCTCTTCCACTGTTCTCTTTTGGCAAAGTAATCAGGATACATTGCCTTCTCTGAAGGATGCCAGTAATCCAGGACCCATTCAGGAGCCTGTCCAAAGAGCAAATCAAGCACTAGATGAAAGAAACCATAAGATACAGCAACAGTACATACATCTTAGGCAACAGATGTCATGGGATGGGTAAATGGTCTGTGAAGCACAGCATTTCATAACAATATATCTAGCTCTTACATAGCGCTTTCCAGTAGATCTCTAATCACGTCAAGGATAAAATTACTGGCCTCTCCTCCATTTTACAGACCACTGAACAGACACTGGGAGGACAGTAACTTGCTTCAATGTCACTCAGAGCACAAGCAAGCTCAAGAGAGAATCCAAGGCTCATTAGTCCCATAGTGCTGTTTTCACTAAGCCAAATTATTCTCGTTTCTCCCCTTGCAAGAAGAGCACCAGTTGCAGATGCCTGAATTAGCAATTATAGAACAGATGCAATTTAAAACGGGTCTTGTGTTTAAGTCCGGTCACTACCATGCGTGGTACAAACCAGATACAGCAATGAAAGGAAGATATGGAAGTTATAACAGTAAAAGTTGCAAAACTAAAAATTCACCTCATTTTTTCTTATGCTGTGTGGTTCAGCAATCATATATCCATAAGAGGGGGGTATAAAATATACTCTGAAGTGCAGTCTAATCAGGAGTAGAAGCAGGATGCACCAGTCAGTATACATCCTTGCAGGATTTTTGCTGTTAACTCCTGTTACTATACAAAGTAACATCCAGGCTCTGTGTAAGTTCTACTTTTCCCCCCACATTATCAATTTTCCAACTAATCCCTCCCCTTCCCTCCTCATTCAGGCCCCCTATCTCCTACCTTGATAACTGTAGGCCACTTTTCCTGCGCCATTTATCCTGCCAAAATCCATATCCCACCCCAACCTGTTCAAAACACAGCTAAGGAGACCTTCCTGGTCATTTACCTGAATCATGTAAATCCAACTCCTCTCAAAATGCTTCCATCGCATCAAATTCAAGCTTTGCATTCTGTTTTCCAAGAACCCTCACAGCTTTGCACCTCCTTTGGGTGGTGCAAAAGAAGAAGTACATGGATTTTACTTTGCAGTATACTGACACAGAAGTAGTACAGGGATTTTACTTTGCAGTATACTGACTCCATAGTAAGGAGTGGACACAGGAACAGCTCTCCAAGTTGGTTACCTGCAGCAGGGGCTATTACAGTGCCTGGCCAGGGAAGTTGGTTTGCGCTGAGCAAATCAGTGACACAGTTTTCATGGCTTGTGCACTGTAGTAAAGTGAAGTTACACAGCATCATGCATATTACATGTACATCCCTTGGGTGTGTCCATCACCTCAGTCTTTGTTTCTTTATCTCAATATGCTCCTTATGCAGACCACACACCTGAACTAATCTTAAACATGCCCACCCTCTTCAAATCCCACTTGCTGAT